GTAAATCAAAATGAAGTAACAGCCTATGTATGTTATATGACCTTTTAACGTTTCATTAAAAATCATGTTTTCTATAATTGAATGCATATTTCTGATTACAATAATTACATTAGACAGGAAAGATGGCAAATTAATAAGCAGAATAAAAGCATTGGAGTAGTATCACTGACTACAGAAATTATTAAAAGTGCAAGGATGAAAAAAGATGTGATTCTTCGACATTTAACATTGAAGGGTTACCTCTAAATAATTCACACTTCTAGTAAACCCACTAGAGATTTATTAGATTTCCTAATAGAAAGTAGAAAAATAGAACCTCTGATTAGTCTCTGTCAGTGGTGCTCAGGTGGGGCTGATTTTGCCCTCAGAGGACATTTGGCAGTGGCTGGAGCCATTTGGGGTTGTCACCGCTTGGAGAGGGGTACACCACTAGATCTAGTGGATAGAGGCCAAGGATGCTGCCAAACATCCTGCAACGCACGACATAGCTCCCCAAAACAAAGAATTACACAGCCCTACTATTAATAGTGCCAAGGTTGAGCAACATTGGTCCAAATCTGGTTGTTTCCTATCAGTCATGTAAGTTAGCACCTTTCTCCCTCACTGGTAATCACTAAACTCAGAGTTGCCTCTGTGACAGTATAATTAGAAAAAGATACTAAACTTGAGTGGCTAATTATGGGTAAGCAGGTACTTAATAATGAGCATATACATAATACAAAATGCCTATTCACAAATTATTAAATTATCTTATTATTCACCAAGTAGTCATAGTGATTGATTTTTTAATTGACTGGTATGCCTTATATTTGCTTTCTCTTTACTGTTAGTCTTTTGGAGAAGGGTTGAAATGAATAATTGATGTTCCGAAGGTGAGGAAATGGGGGAAGGAGAACTCAGGAGGCTTGATTAACCACAAACTAGATTCTCTGTTTTTTGGCAATTTGAAGGTAGATTGCCTTTTACATTTATTTAAAATTTAATAACGGAGTTCATTAGGCCAAAACCTAATTTGAAACATAAGGAGATATTATAATTTTCCCCTTTAACCAATAAATAAAATATAATTAAAGTAATTCATTTCCTCTTAGGTTTTACACATGTATGCTTTGGAGAGTCCAATAGAACAGCTTATCATTTAATTTGCAACAGTACAACTCTGGATTTCAGTCTGAAAAATATAAATGAAGAAAGGCACTGTGTTGACAGAAAAGAAAAATGAAAGAACAATTTGTTAAGACCAAACGTTTGTAAGTCTCATAATGTATATCTATCTGTCTAGCTATTAACTCAATTTGAAATTTCTCAAATACCTGAGAAGTAATAGGAGACAGGAAATTTTATCCCTCACTCTTTGTATTCTAAGCTTCATCATGGTATTAACTTGCAATGAAACCTAAAGACGCTAATGAAATTAAGCACAAAAGAGAAATAAGGGGAAGGTCTCTGGATTAGAATTTTAAATGCAGCTTAGGGTGAGAAAACCTCTGCTATTGACTTTTCCCAGTTGCTAGTTAAGAGTTTAAAGCAAACCACATTATTTACTCATTGTCTGTTTACTCATTTGGCAGTTTCTAAAAGGAAGGCTAAAAAGTACTAGTGCGTAGTAAACAGTTTTCCCTGTTATATATTGCTGTGGGATCACATATAAACTTTAAATTAAGACCTGGAAAGCATTCTTATAAATAACTAAAATACTTCTCTTCAGTCATCTGTAGGATACATCCCACAAAAAATTTCTATCTTTCTGCATGTTATAGTGACAAACACCTAATATTATCTATTGTCTAAGGTAATTGCGTGGTAATTAACTGGTTTCTGATCAAAGTAATATTTGAGAAGGGCTGCATGCCTTGGAAGATAACGCACACTAATGCTTTTCTTATGTTATTCAGGTATAATTTTTATCCAGGTAGATAATTTATAGTAGCCAAATACATTTAAATGTATTTTATATATAGAGTAAGTTGCACAAATCTTAAGTGCCTAGTTAATTACATTTTTATATATTCATATCAATATACCAGCTGGTTATACATGTCACCACCACCCAATTTAAGATATAGGACATTTGCCCAAAAGTTTGCTCATTCTTAGAAGTATCCACACCTTCTAGGTAACCACTATTCTGATTTCTATCACCATAGATTAGTTTTGCCTGTTCTTAATCTTCATATAAATGTAATATAGTATGCCTTTTTACATCTGGCTTCTTTTTCTCATCATAATATCTTGGAGATTCATCCATATCAGTAATTAATTTATTTTAAAATATCTCAATAGTATTATGTTAAGTTTATCTCTTTTCTTATTGAATTGTTTATGGCTTTTAGCTATCATAAAGACAACTTATATGAAGACTTCTTGTGCTTAAAAGAAATGAGCTATTAAACCAGGAAAAGACATGAGTGAACCTTAAATGCATATTATTATTAAATGAAGGAAGCCAATCTGAGAAGGCATACTGTATTATTCCAACTATAGGACATTCTGGAAAAGGTAAACCTATGGAGGGGTTGCCAGGGGTTGGTGGAAAGTGGAAGGATGAGTATGCAGAGCACAGAGGTCTTTTAGAGCAGTGAAAATAGTCTGATGATACCGTCATGAGGGATACATGTCATTACACACTTGACCAAACCCATAGAGTGTACAACACTAGTCGTAAACCCTAAGGAAAATTGTGGAATTCGGGTGCCTGTGATGGGTCAATGGTAGATTCGTCCTTGCTAAAAAATGTACCATTCTTGGGAGTGCTGTTGATAATGGGGGAGGTTATGCCTATGTGGGAGAAGGGAGTATATGCTAAATCACTATACCTTCCTCTCAATTTTATTGTAAACCTAAAACTGCTCTAAAAATAAATGATTTTAAAAGTAAAAAAAAAAAAGATGTCTTGGCTATGTCTTTTGATGGACCTATGACTTCATTTATCTTGAATATAGAAGGAGGATTTAATACTGAGTCTAATACTGACAAAGTTCTCTGAAGTGATGACACATTGACACTCGGCCCAGCAGTACAAGAAAGAAACATGGCTACACGCCCTCACCAACACTGGGTCTCATCAGTACTTTTAATGTTGTCTACTGTGTGGGTGGACAAGGGTATCTCATTATAGTTTCCTTTGCATTTCCCTGATGACTAACGTGCTTTTATACCTTTGGATTATCCTCTTCTTATGAAGTAAGTGCCTTTCCATCTCAGCTTCTGACAACTTTTCTTGACTGTTTTTTTTCCTAGGTCACGGGGAGCTGCACACACTAGAAATATGTTGGATAGCACCAACAGACCAGTGGTTCCTGGCTGCCTGTCCCCATTGTTGTCTCTTGCCCTCATTCAGTCCACCTAAGGAGGCTGGGTTTGAGTGAGGGGGGCTGCTCCCCAGTTGTCTTCTCAGGGTGGTTCTTCCTGACAGCGTACCAGGCCAATGTCACTTCCTGGAGGATGGTAGCACCTGCTTCCCTAGTTTACTAACATCGGGCTCAAAAGGGTTGCTACCCAAATAAAGCAAATTGAAAAGGGGATAACTGAGAGGCACATACTTTTATTTTATTTTATTTTATTTTAATTAAATTTACTGGGTGACAGTGGTTAATAGAATTGTATAGGTTTCAAGTGTACATTTCTATAATACATAAGTTTTCTCATCAGGCTATCCCAGTGTTTCCTCAACTGTGTTCCACAGAAGAATATTTAACCTCTGTTGCATAAAAAGAATGCCAAATAAGTTTGGGAATGCTGCACACTATATATTCTCCTTTTGAAGCCTTGCCATTTAAATTAGTGTATGAAAGGTTCAGAGAAGTCCTACATCAAAGAAACCTACTTGGCGTCATTTAACCCATTGCTTCATAAACTTACCTGACCATGCATGGAACCCTCTCTTTCCCACCTTTTTTTTTCTAAGTACACCTATTATTATCTTTCACAATAATGGCTCTGTCCTGCTTTAGACCAATCTTTAGACCAATGTGGAATTCCCTTTGAGTTGGTGACACTTCATAAAATAGAGATATGTGTTTCCTTAAAAAAATATAAATCTCAGCAATGGATAGCCTTACAAAATAGTATTAAACTCGGGGGAATAAATGAGATGGTGGTGGTGGTGGTGGGTAGAAAGGAAGAGAATCCCATATCTGGCCACTACATTTAAGAAAACATGGTACACCATATCACTCACTGAGTCCCAGTCGGCCGGTAGGCTCTTACTAGCCTAGCCCTCTGGGCTTCAGCGCTCCCCCAGTAGCATATAAATCCCTGTAACATGAAGCATTTACAATGATATATTCTGAGTGGGTTAGTATATATGATAATAGCACCAATTACTACTTCTCTGGCATCACTTATAATGAGGGTATATGTACGTAGTGAGGAAACAAAGAAGGTTATACATAGAATCCTAGAAAAGAAAAACAATAAATAACCAGAGCAGACAACCACCCAACAAGACAAAGTCTCCGGGTAACGTTCACCGTCCTCCAAAATCAACAGGGCTACAAAATGGTATGTGCTGCATGTACGCCTTTGGGTATGAGACGTGGCGCTAGAACCATATCTACCCCAGCACATCTCATTTCATTCATCAGGCTCCCTTTCTGTGAAACAGTTCCATAAATTTTCCTCTCATTCTTTAAAGTAAATCCCACTGAACCTAGTTTAGAATTTCAAAAGTAGATCCAGGGACAAATCCAAGAAACACAGCACAATTTAAAAGGGAAATATAAAACCCATTTCATAACTAAGTGTGAGCGCTCAGACATTTTTTTCAATATTAACCACAATAAATCCACTGAACACAATAAGTGCAGGGAGGAGCTCCCCCACTAAAAAAGAAAACCACTCATAACAGGCTTTCTGAGATACTCTTGCTCTTTTGAAATGAGACCACAGTTGGGATTTAAAAGCATACATCTTTTCCTTAACAATTTTCATTTGGCATTATTCGCCTGGGTTAATATCACTCCCAATTCAGTCCAAATGTAAGTGTAAAATTCACCTACCTGCACAAAACCGCACGCTGTGAAGTCTTCAAACAAGGGCAGACTTGGACGGTCTTCTCGGTGGATGGTGAGTTTGTACGTGATCAAGCTCTCACCCTGCACTGGAGATTCATCCACCACAAACATTGAGATTTTGTTCGTTCCTAAGCCCAGAGGGTAGTTGGCAACGCTGGAGACAGAAACATCTATTTAGCCCAAACAAATTCATACATCAATATGAAATGCCTACAGTTTGCATAAGGTCTGTACAATTTCATAAGACACCTAAAATCTGAAAAAAAAATATTTTAACTTCTATTTCACCATACTTCGGTATGCCGAGTGTTAGAGCAAGTCATGTCCCCTCTCAAGTACAGGGAAGGGAACTAACTATTTACTAACCATCTGTCAGGGTCATACATCATCTTATTTAATATTCACAACAACTCCATATAAAACTATGATGGTCCCTGTTTTAAATATACAGACCATGACATCAAATGGGGAAACAAATTGCCCAAAGTCACTTGGTAGAGTCAGTGTAGGGACCCAGGTGGGTCTCACTTGAATCATCTCTCCTTTCTAGTAGACTCTCTTGGCTCCCAGAGATGACAAGACCATTTCTTCCCCTACACACGGGAACATGACTATCTTCCTTTCTATGGACATGAATGTAGTAGAGGCTCTATCTTCTGTTCCAAATTCCAAATGAAAGAGT